GTCAGCAACCTGGTGAAGCCCAATGGTGCCAGCTTTCCATGGTGGCTCCTTGTTAAAAATCACACTTTGCTCATCTCCCCCAGAGATTCACCACTCGGGCTGTGTGGCCCTGACTCGGAAGCAGCGGGGAGGCAAAGGACTTTTGATGGTTGGTGAACATTGCACATGCAAGAGAAGATTCAATGTGTATGCAGCTCAGCAGTCGGAATAAATGCAAATGTGAGAACTGGAGCAGCTGTACTTGTGCGAAGGGGCTGTGTGTTTCTCGGGCTAGGATAGGAAGGCTACGCACCACAGCGAGCTCTGGCAGACTCAGGGCTTGAGCTGTGTCCGTGCTGCAGAACAATGGCGTTTGGGCCCAAGACCCAGAGACTCTCAGTCCCCATGGAGTTCTGGGCCCAGGCCCAAGTCAGATGGGTTTGGGCTCGTGCCTAGACTTACGTTGCAATGTGCCCATCTCCTAAGCCTGCTTTGCACCAGTGCAGTGTCTCCCCAGGAGAAGTTTGCACTGGGTAATTCATGGGGCAGAGTCCCCATGTCCAGCCGGGCTCCACGGCAGAGAGGCAGGCTCCAGCTCCCCGGGGAGAATGGAACCTACCAATCTCCAGAATGCCGGGGCTCGCTGATGTCACACAGAGCACAGGCATTGTTCCACTAATGGCTTAAGGACGGGCCCCCTCCGCACACACCAGCACAATCCACGCAGAAATGGAATATGAGCAAAAACGCACCAAGTTTTTGGCCCAGTACTACATGAACGGCAACCAGCACTGGCAGCCACATGTGAGACCGTTGCTCAACAAGCAGCACTCGCAGTACCACTGGTATGCGGGGCAGCACGTGCCGAGAAGGGGGATGTTCTCAGGGCCCGCCCTCGAGGGCAGCCCTTGGGCTCGGGCGTTCTGCCCTTGGGCTGTCCCACGCAGGGGGTTCATTCACCAGCAGAACCCTGAGATCCAGACACTGCGCTCAGGTGTGAAACGTTCCCGGAGGTGCTGGGTTTGAGCTTGTGGCTAACCTGTCTGATGCCCCGCGGCAGTGCCAAAGCCCCCGCCCTCCAGTTCACAAGAACGGGGCATTGTGCCATTCACAGTCGGGACACAGCTACAGTCGAGTCCTGGGTGACCAAACACCCTCGCTGCCTGACAGCCGTTCAGAGGCTCGGTGGTCTCTAGTCCCAGCCCTGCCATCTCCGTTGTCTGCAATCCCAGCAGGGTCCCTTGTTGGCTGAGCTCCATGATTTGTCTCCGGGCTCCTGTGGGGACGATTACCATGGCCTGAAACCAGCCCTGCCCACCAGTAGTCCCTGTAAGCCAGGCACTTTGGCAGCTGCTCAGGAGAGATTGAAATGCTGCCCAGCTTATTAGCAGAACACCCATAGCTAGGGTTTTGTTTCCACTGGTGGTGCACATCCGCTTTGGTGCACATAAAATTTATTCCGCACATGGATGGAAAAAATTAGTGGGAACATTGCTGCCCACTTCATCACTCCCCAGTGCCACATCCTAGGCCAGGCGATGCAGGCTGGCCACAGGCCCAGCTCTTGACTGTTTCTTGTTCTGTCCCTGTTGATTCCTACTATGGTCTGTTTGAGGTTTCCCCTGAAGTGCGCTCTGTGAACACAGTTGGTAGGATTCTATTGTATCTTAGGTGGTGGGTGGCTGGCTCCAGGTCTGGGCCATCTTAGCCTGCTTGCCATCTCTGTGTCACAGGACAGCACCTCCCAGAGGCTCAGTGTGGCCCTGTGCCGTGGGAGGGGCTGATGCTTAACGTGCAACTTGTTTGCAGGGGTCGCCTGAACCGAGAAGGCAGCAGGGTTCTGTTCCCGCAGATCAGCGGGCTGAAGGGCAGCAGTAAGTACAAGAGCCTCCGGCAGCCCCGGCGAGGGGGAATCCTGCCTTGACGGGGCTGCAGCTGGGAACTTCAGCACAAGCTTTCCCAGGCATTTCCCAATGAAAAACTTTACCCTAGAGACAGCAACGGCTCCTTGTTACCGGATAAGCATCCCCCTTCCCACGTGCTGCTCACCGGGTGAGGAGTTAACCCGTGGCCTGGCCAGGCTGGAGCAGCACCCAACTGGGCCCACCGTGGTGCCCCACTGAACTTAATGTTTAACAGATTAACTTTCAACACAGGATTTTACAGCCCTCGTTCATTTTTGTTTCAGATTTCTTTGAAAACAGGATTGTTAATATTTTTCAGTTTCATTTTTTAATCAGTTTTTTTCAAACGGGAATTCCATTAAGTGTATTTTTTTCCTTCTTCAATATAAACTCTTGTCATTTGCTATGTTTTAACAAACAAGGTGCCATAGTCAATTTGGTTTCCAGTAACATTTTTGTCTGGTTTTCAAACCTCACGGATGGATTGAGCTGTGCCAAAACAGAGCACTACTCCACATTTTCCCATTTTCTCCCTTTTCTGGGAGGTTTATTGAGAAGCAATCTTATTCCAGGTGCACCCTATTTTTCTGGTTTATCTTGGTTCACTCTCTTTCAACATTCACTCAGTTATGTCAGTTATGGGGTCTCTACTTAAGTTTTATTCAGTGCTTTTTTGTGACAGTATGGCCTGGAATGGCGTACTGTCACCTATTTTCCTAGCACACAGTACAGGCAGTCCCCGGGTTACGTACAAGATAGGGACTGTAGGTTTGTTCTTAAGTTGAATCTGTATGTAAGTCGGAACTGGCATCCAGATTCAGCCGCTGCTGAAACTGACCACCAGTTCTGACTTACATACAGATTCAACTTAAGAACCCCAAGCGTCCCCAAGTCAGCTGCTGCTGAAACTGATCAGCGGCTGATTCCAGGAAGCTGGGGGCAGAGCAACTCTGCCTCGGGCTTCCTGTAGTCAGCGCTGGTCAGTTTCAGCGGCGGCTAACTTGGGGACGCCTGGGGCAGAGCAGCTGGGGTGCTGCCGGGTTGGTCCAGTAGTGCTCAGAGTGGCGCTGCGGGACCAACCGGCAGCGCCCCAGCTGCTCTGCCCCAGGGTCCACAACAAAAGCCTGGACTGCTGGGGGGG